CAGCTTTTTTTTATTGGGTCTCCTTTGGTCTAAGATATATTGTTTTTACGTGCTTAGATCCATGAATTTTGAAATTTTTCTAAATATCGTTTCAGATAATAATGAATGAATTGTAGTTTTATTTAAATTACGGATTAATTCTATTTTTAACGGTTTATGAACGAAAACATGGTTGAAATGTTCTCATGTTTACATTCCTAACATTGCAATTTTCACTATTGATTGCTCAAATTTTTATTTTTACCATCCTTTAAATAAACATGAAATTTTTCCAACAGGACCACCACGTTATATGTTTTGAATAATTTGTTAGCATTGCAAACGAGTCTGCACTGATTAAAGCTTTCCCATAATTGGCAACCTCGTTTCTTTAAGTTATCGCTAGGCAAATAGGATGACCATAGCGGGATTGCGGATTACGGCCACCGTATTTTTATTGGGACTCCTTTAAGCTAGGATATACGAGGGTTGTCCCAAAAGTAATGCACAATTTGCTCTGAATAAATAAGTTTTAATTTTAAACTAAATACAATAAATATCTGGAAGCTATATTAGAGGGACGAACAGATATGTGCTAACGCATCGTTTCGGGAGCGCTTGAATGCCTCAAAGGACGCCATCTTTGTTGATTTCACGGATCCTTCGGCTCACTCCTTCATTAAATATATCTAAGTTGAGAAAACGGATTCCTCTTAGTGGTTCCTTCAGTTTAGGAAATAAATCAAAATCCGGGGGACTTAAATCCGGCGAATACGATGGGTGTTTGAGGCGTTCCCATCCATATTTCTCCAAAAGAGCGACGACTGGTGCTCCGATATGCGGCCGCGCATTATCGTGCAATATGGACACACCATTTTGTAACATTCCTGGTCCCATTTTACGGATTTCTGGTCGAAATTTCACTTGATTTTGAAAAACCTGTTTCATTCTCTATCTCTCTCACCGTTAATCGTCGGTCTTCATCGAGCAGAGTTGCGAGAATAGCCGCGTTAGTGTTGTCATGATTAACCGTATTGGGTCGGCCAGAGCGTGGGTTGTTATCAATGCTTATATGACCATCACGGAATCGCTGATGCCATCTTTGCACCGTATTACGATCCTTACCATCCTTTAAATAAACTTAAAATTTTTCCAACGAGACCACTACGTTATGTTTTGAATAATTCGTTTGCATTGCAAACGAGTGTGCACTGATTAAAGCTTTCCCTAAATGGACAACCTCCTTTCTTTAAGTTATCGCTAGTCAAATAGGATGACCATTGCGGGATTGCGGATTACGGCCCGCTTTTTTTTATTGGGTTTCCTTTAGGCTAGGATATATTGTTTTTACGTGCTTAGATCCATGAATTTTGAAAGTTTTCTAAATATCGTTTCAGATAATAATTAATGAATTGTAGTTTCATTTAAATTACGGATTAATTTTTTTTTAATGGTTTATGAATGAAAACATGGTGAAATGTTCTCATGATTACATTCCTAACATTGCAATTTTCACTATTGATTGCCTAAATATGTATTATTACCATCCTTTAAATAAACTTGAAATTTTTCCAACAAGACCACCACGATATGTGTTGAATAATTCGTTGGCATTGCAATCGAGTTTGCACTGATTGTAGCTTTCACTAAATGGACAACCTCCTTTCTTTAAGTTATCGCTAGTCGAATAGGATGACCAGAGCGGGATTGCGGATTACGGCCAGCTTTTTTTTATTGGGTCTCCTTTAGTCTAAGATATATTGTTTTTACGTGCTTAGATCCTTGAATTTTGAAAGTTTTCTAAATATCGTTTCAGATAATAATGAATGAATTGTAGTTTTATTTAAATTACAGATTAATTCTATTTTTAACGGTTTATTTATGAAAACTTGGTTTAAATGTTTCCATATCTACATTCTTAACATTGCAATTTTCTCTACTAATTGCTCAAATTTTTATTCTTACCATCCATTACATAAACTTGAAATTTTTCCAACGAGACCACCAAGTTTTGTGTTGAATAATTCGTTAGCATAGCAACGAGATTGTACTGATTGTAACTTTCACTAAATAAATAACGTCTTTTTATTAAGTTATCGCTAGTCCAAAAAGATGACCATAGCGGGATTGCGGATTACGGCCCGCTTATTTTTATTGGGATTCCTTTAGGCCAGGATATACGGTTTTTACGCTGGTATATCCGTGATTTATGAAATTTTTCAAAACATCGTTTCAGATAATTAAAATGAATTGTAGTTTCATTTAAATTACGGATTAATTTTTTTTTAATGGTTTATTAATAAAAACTTGGTTTAAATGTTTCCATATCTACATTCTTAAAATTGCAATTTTTTCTATCGATTGCCTAAATATGTATTATTACCATCCTTTAAATAAACTCGAAAGTTTTTTCACAAGACCACCACGTTATGTGTTGAATAATTCGTAGGCATTGTAAACGAGTCTGCACTGATTGTAGCTTTCACTAAATGGACAACCTCCTTTCTTTAAGTTAAGGCTAGTCGAATAGGATGACCAGAGTGGGATTGCGGATTACGGCCCGCTTTATTTTTATTGGGACTCCTTTAGGCTAGGATATACGGTTTTTACGCTGGTAAATCCGTGATTTAGGAAATTTTTTAAAACATCGTTTCATATAATAAAAATGAATTGTAGTTTTATTTTAATCACGGATTAAATCTATTTTTAACGGTTTATGAACGAAAACATGGTTTAAATGTTTCCATATCTACATTCTTAAAATTGCAATTTTTTCTATCGATTGCCTAAATATGTATTATTACCATCCTTTAAATAAACTCGAAATTTTTTCCACAAGACCACCACGTTATGTGTTGAATAATTCGTTGGCATTGTAAACGAGTCTGCACTGATTGTAGCTTTCACTAAATGGACAACCTCCTTTCTTTAAGTTATGGCTAGATAGTCATGAAGGACTGGATATGTTTCTTTGGGTAGATATAATTTACAAAAATCTAGTAAAGGTGATTGATTGAATTTTTCTTTGAGTTGAATATCTGATTGCAACTCAATACATTCCATTTGAAATTTAGTTTCTACAGCAGTAATATCAACCAAAAATGGTGTTGCGAAAATAGCAAAGAGTTGACTATTCTTACGAAAATCTTGAAAACGGGTTTCAAATTCACTTAATAAAATTAAAATTAAAGAAGCATATTACTCGCTATTCTTGGGATTGTATTCGGCCAACACAGGGAAATACATAAAATTATTCACCTTAACTTGACTTTGCCATAATTTAAGTTTCAGTTCAAAAGCAGTTATTATTTGAAACATATTACTAATGAGTTGATTTTTACTTTGAAGACGTACGTTTAACTCGTACGTTTTAACCGCGGGCCGCGGGTTGGACACTAATAATTTAAGATTACAAAAAATAACCATTGAGATAATGGTGTTTGGATTATAGTTTTATTTGAATGGCAAATTAATTTTATTTAAAATGAAACATTGATGAAAGCATGGTTAAAATGTTCCCATATCTACATTCCCTACATTGCATTTCTCTCTATTGATTGCCAAAACTTTTTTTTTACCGTCTTTGAAGTAACCTCGCATCCCTGATTTCAACCCCCCCTCTTTATATCACTTATTTTATTTATAGTTTTATAAATAGTTTATAATTTCTAGGTACAAAATAAAATCAGAAATACAGTTTATGTCGTGGAAAAATATTTTACTAATTTATTTAAAAATTTAATTTAATAAAAAAAGCTGATACAAATTTAAATTTTACATTTTACGAACTTATATTAATTAACTTATTAAACGAGTCTGCACTGAATGTAGCTTTCACTAAATGGACAACCTCCTTTCTTTAAGTTATCGCTAGTCGAATAGGATAACTATAGCGGAATTGCGGATTACGGCCCGCTTTTTTTTATTGGGACTCGTTTAGGCTAGGATATATTGTTTTTACGTGCTTAGATCCATGAATTTCGAAATTTTTCTCTATTGATTGCCTAAATATGTATTATTACCATCCTTTAAATAAACTTGAAATTTTTCCAACAAGACCACCACGTTATGTGTTGAATAATTCGTAGGCATTGTAAACGAGTCTGCACNTATACGGTTTTTACGCTGGTAAATCCGTGATTTAGGAAATTTTTTAAAACATCGTTTCATATAATAAAAATGAATTGTAGTTTTATTTTAATCACGGATTAAATCTATTTTTAACGGTTTATGAACGAAAACATGATTTAAATGTTTCCATATCTACATTCTTAAAATTGCACTTTTTTCTATCGATTGCCGAAATATGTATTATTACCATCCTTTAAATAAACTCGAAAGTTTTTTCACAAGACCACCACGTTATGTGTTGAATAATTCGTAGGCATTGCAATCGAGTTTGCACTGATTGTAGCTTTCACTAAATGGACAACCTCCTTTCTTTAAGTTATCGCTAGTCGAATAGGATGACCAGAGCGGGATTGCGGATTACGGCCCGCTTTTTTTAATTGGGACTCCTTTAGGCTAGGATATACGGTTTTTACGCTGGTATATCCGTGATTTATGAAATTTTTCAAAACATCGTTTCAGATAATTAAAATGAATTGTAGTTTCATTTAAATTACGGATTAATTTTTTTTTAATGGTTTATTAATAAAAACTTGGTTAAAATGTTTCCATATCTACATTCAAAACATTGCAATTTTTTCTATTAATTGCCTTAATATGTATTATTACCATCCTTTAAATAAACTTGAAATTTTTCCAACAAGACCACCACGTTATGTGTTGAATAATTCGTAGGCATTGCAATCGAGTTTGCACTGATTGTAGCTTTCACTAAATGGACAACCTCCTATCTTTAAGCTATGGCTAGTCGAATAGGATGGCCAGAGTGGGATTGCGGATTACGGCCCGCTTTTTTTAAATGGGACTCCTTTAGGCTAGGATTTTTAACGGTTTATGAACGAACACATGGTTTAAATGTTTCCATATTTACATTCTTAAAATTGCAATTTTCTCTATCGATTGCCTAAATATGTATTATTACCATCCTTTAAATAAACTCGAAATTTTTTCCACAAGACCACCACGTTATGTGTTGAATAATTCGTAGGCATTGTAAACGAGTCTGCACTGATTGTAGCTTTCACTAAATGGACAACCTCTTTTCTTTAAGCTATGGCTAGTCGAATAGGCAGACCAGAGTGGGATTGCGGATTACGGCCCGCTTTTTTTTATTGGGACTCCTTTAGGCTAGGATATACGGTTGTTACGCTGGTATATCCGTGATTTATGAAATTTTTTAAAACATCGTTTCAGATAATAAAAATGAATTGTAGTTTTATTTAAATCACGGATTAAATCTAATTACGGCCCGCTTTTTTTTATTGGGACTCCTTTAGGCTAGGATATACGGTTTTTACGCTGGTAAATCCGTGATTAAGGAAATTTTTTAAAACATCGTTTCAGATAATTAAAATGAATTGTAGTTTTATTTAAATTACGGATTAATTCTATTTTTTACGGTTTATGAAGGAAAACATGGTTGAAATGTTCTCATATCTACATTCTTAACATTGCAATTTTCTCTACTAATTTCTCAAATTTTTATTCTTACCATCCATTACATAAACTTACCATCCA